CAAGGCACTTAAGTTGGTTACATAGCTACCTGGGCAAGGCACTTAAGTTGGTTACATAGCTACTTGGGCAAGGCACTGACACCCTCTCTACCCCTCAGTCTCCTCATCTATAAAACGAGGTTGGACTAGTTGAACCTCTAAAGTTCCTTCCAGCTCCAGAATTGTGATTCTGTGCAGCAAATAAAACTGTGCCAGGGAAACTACTTGCCCTGTGTGATATAGGAGGAGTAGGAAATAAGAGAACATCTAATTCTTTAAGACAGCACCTTCTCAGACTAAAGACTATGTCAAGAAGACTAATCAACTAGCGTCTCTTACATAGAAGATGACGTAACCCACATAAGGAGTTTATCTTCTGGCTATGGTGAGAAAAGGCCTACACACACATAAGGGGCAGTCAGTGGATAAGGGCCAACTGAGTGGAACAGAGAATAAATGCTATTAGAACTCAAGAGAAGGAGAAATAGCTAGGTGATGGGGGTGATCACAGATTACTTTTTGGAGGAGTTGGGACCTCAGCTGGATCTTGAAGAATGGGTAGGATTGGGCTAGGGAGAAAAAGGGAGTGAGGGAATTCTAGGCAAGAGGATCCCATGGACTAAGATGGCTCGGGGGAAATCAACCCAGGAGGGATAAGAGAAATTCAACAAAGAAATTCTGAAGATACAAAAGGGAAACAATTGTAACAGGGAAGAAAAATGGAAATGGATTGAAGAGACTGATGTGGATGCACAGGGAACTCACTAGCTGACTTAGATTCAAAAAATACATTTCTAGAAAATGGAATTGAGGTCAGGTAACACAAGATGGATAAAAGACACAGTAGAGTCCCTGTAAAGACAGTGAGAGGAATGCTAAAGCTCAAAATGGGTTGAGGCTTGCGGCCAGGGAGGCTGAAGATAAAATAAAGGGTTGGCGCTTTTAGCTAAATTGGGAGAAAAAGGAGGATCAAAGAAGGCACAGGACCTGTGCCTGGAGTGGATGGGATACCTGATAACACAGAGAAGGCAGAGCTTCTCCTCTTGTTTTGCTTGTTGTCTTGTCAAAGGAGAATGACCTAATTCACACTGCAAGCAGCAGAAAAATGACTGCCCCAAACAAATAATTTGATAGCAAGAGAGCACCTAGCGGCCCTTGATGAATTCAAATCCCTTGGTCTAAAATGAACTACATATTCTGGTCCTGAAAGAACTAGGAGATGTGAATCATGAGCCGCCATCACTGACATTTAAGAGATCATGGAAAAAAGGGGAAGTACCACAAGACTGGAGAAGGGCAAATGTGGTCCTGATTTTCGAAAAGGGGAAGAAGACAGTTTCTTGGCTTCAATTCTTGGGAAATTCTAGAATGGTTCATTACAGAGATGGTTGGGGAATTGGGGAAGCATCAGTCTGGCTTCAAGAAGAATAGGCCATGGCAAACATTATTTTCTCTTTTTTTTTTTGGCACAAGTTTACTAAGCTAGCAGATGAGGGGATGCTATGGAAAGAGTTTACCTAGATTTTGGCAAAGCTTTGATAAAAGTAGCTCATAATACTCCTGTGGAGAAGACAGAGATATGGGTTAGATGAAAATACAATTCTGTGGATTTATAACTAGTTGGATGGCCAGACTCAAAGAGTAGTTATAATGATTCAATGTCAACATGGCCAGAATTCTTCAGTGGAGTCCACCGGGGATTGGTGTTGGGCTTTGTATCATTTCACATTTTTTATCAGTGTCTTAGATGAAGACATAGGTGGTATACCCATCTAATTTGCAGATGATCTCAAGTGGGAAAGGATGACTGACATTCTGGATGACAGAGTCAGGATCCAAAAGAATCTTAACAAGATGGAGCACTGGGTGAAGTCCAATCAATAGAGATAAAAGTTTTGTACTTGGGCACAAAATATCAGCTTCCTAAGTATAAGATGTGGGGGAGGGCCATGGTTTGACAGGAATCGTTGTGAAAAAGATCTGGGGGTTTTACAGTAAACTGCAAACTCCGTGTGATATGGCAGCTAAAACAGTGAGGGAGATTTGGGGCTGCATTAAGAGGGGTAAAGGAATAGGGAGGTGATAGTCCTATAGTACTGTGCCCTCATCAGACCTCATCTGGGGTACTGGGTTCAGTTCTGGGCACTGTGGATTGAAGAATGGCATTGGC